AGAGACTTTGGATTTCCATTTATTTATTGTTGCACTTTTCTCCCTGCCCACCCCTCCCCACTCCAGTACATTCTTCTCTTTGAAAAGTAAATGAAAAATTATTTCATTCCCTCCCCCCAGATCCACTCCACTATGCAGCCTTCATTCTGGACTCCAGTCATGACAATAATATCTAATCATATATCCCTTTTAGACAGTTCTCTCCCTCATCAGTTTCTATACAGTGTATATTAGTTAGCTTCTCTTTTCTTAAGTTCTCCCCAACCCCAATATCAGTCTTGTTTTATAACAGTGGCATTATATAGTATTTGCCCTCTTGTGACGGAGATATTTCACTCAGCATAATGTTCTCCAGGGTCACCCATTTTGTATAATATTTCATTAGTTCCTTGTTTTTCAATACAGCATAGTATTCCATTGTGTGAATATACCACAGCTTCTCTATCCATTCGTTTGTTGATGGGCACTTGGGTTATTTCCAGCTCTTTGCTATTGTGAACAAAGCCGCAATAAACATGGATGTGCATGTATCTGCGTGAGTAGCGGTTATGGTTTCTTTAGGGTATATTCCCAGTAGTGGAATTGCTGGGTCAAATGGTATTTCTATTTGCAACTTTTTATTTTTGTATGTGTGTACCGTCAAATCAGATCTGACTGGTACAGGAGGAGATTGTCCCTCCTTCCCCGGCAGAGCATCTGGTGGATTTGAACCGTGCGCCTCTGGAATTGTAGTTGCAGCTCCTTGCCACTAGGCCACCAGAGCTCCCCTTAATTGCAACTTTTTGAGAAAGCACCATATCACCTTCCACAGTGGTTGCACCATTTTACACTCCCACCAACAGTGAATAAGGGTTCCAGTTTCTCCACAACCTCGGCAGCATTTGTTGTTTGCTCCTCTCTTTAATTTTGCTATTCTCATTGGGGTGAGATGATATCTCATAGTTGTTTTGATGTGCATCTCTCTTAGAACTAGGGATTTTGAGTACTTCTTCATGTGTTTGTTTGCCATCTGAATGTCTTCTTCGGTGAAGTGTCTGTTCATATCCTGTGACCATTTTTCTGTTGGGTTGTTTACCTTTATCTTGTTGTGGTGCTTAAGTATTCTATAAATTCTAGATATAAGTTCCTTATCAGATATGTCATTACCAAATATTTTTCCCCTGGTCTGTGGTTTCCCTTTTTACCATGTTGGAGAAGTTTTTGGATATGTATAGGGATTTGATTCTTAGAAGGTCCCATTCATCTATTTTATCCTTTTCCGGTTGTAGGCAGATAGTTAATACTTTAAGCTTCACAGACTGTACATTCTATTTTGCAGTGACTTCCGTGTGTCCTTGTAGCACTAACAAAATGATAGATAATATTTTAATGAATAGGCACAACTAGATTAGGTAGAACTTTTGAGGCCACAGAAGGTTGTCTGGTTTGAGAAGAATCTAGTACTATCTCTAATGTCATTGCCTCCGGCCACATATGACTATTTAGGTAAAATGATTTAAAATTCATTTCTTCAGTCACAGTCACATTTCAAGTTCTTACTAGTCACATGTAGTGAGGAGCTGCTGTGTTGGACAGCTCAGATAGAGAATGTTCCATTTCACAGAAAGCTCTACTGGATAGTGCTAACGCACTGTCTCTAAGTCTGCATCCTTATCTGATGCCACCATGGGGCAGAGAGTTCTGAGATGGTGGCTTCTTTGAACGTGGAGGAGGAAGACTGAGGAACAAGGCTCACCTTCAGCATCAAGCAGGCCCCAACACTGCTGTTTTGTGATCTTAACTTGCCTTTTCCATCTGTCATCAGCCCCGAAGGACAACAGCTGGACATAAAGAAGTCAAGCTACAAAAAGGTAAGCAGACATCATCTTTGCAGGCCCACAGTTGTGGACAGAGATGGGACACACGTGGCATGAGGTGATGGGTACTGGGGAGCCTTGTCCACAAGGTTCCAGCCAGAAGCTTTTTATCCACATATGAGGATGGAGAAAGAAAACTTCTTGGCAAAGGCAGATGGGTGGGCACGCACTCCTCTCGTTCCTTTGGCCCTTTTACGTCTGGCCAGAATCCTGAAAGGTGAAGCAGTTGGCCTTGAGCGGCTTCTCTGCTCTCTGCCCTTCTGGGTGGGGGCTCTCAGTTCCTCATGTGAGAATGCAGGGATTGACTCGTATCTCTCCACGGTACCGGCTGAGCTTGGTTGTCGGTGCTCAGTGTGGATGTGGACCTGTGAAGTCCCCTACCACTGGCCCTCTCTCCCTTAGCTCTCTAAGTTCCTGCAGCACATGCAGCAGGAGCACATTGTACAGGTGAAGGAGCTGAGCAAAGGGGTGGAGAGCATTGTGGCTGTGGACTGGAAGCACCCAAGGTGAGTTGAGTGCAGAGGGCCTGGTCACTAGCTCAGCTGGCCGCAGGGCACCTACCTGGGCTGTAGACTGGGGATTGATTGCCTAGACACTAGTGTAAACTATTTTTTTTCCTTTCCTCTGCTGGGTTTTAGGATCACATCTTTCGTCATACCCGAGCTCTCCCTGACTTCCCAGACTGTCCAGGAGGGTAGCAGGGAACAGCCCTATCACCCTCCAGATATTAAATCCCTCTACTGTGTCCCAGCCAACATGACCCTGCTCTTCCAGGAGTCTGGCCACAAGTGAGTTTTTAGAGAGCAGCCCTTTTTTGCCTACTTAACGTTCTGGCCTCTAGTTCCTCTGACCCTGAGTCATCGTCTCTGTGACTGGCAAGCTTTTGTCTGTCCATCTTCTCCCTTTCTGCTAACTCCAGCTTGAAGCCTCTTTCTCCTGGGAAAGTTCTCTGGACTAAAAAGAATAAGCAAGTAGATTTCTCCCTCTTGTACCCATAACAATTCTTCACATGGTCTTGCGCACCTCAGTGAAACAAAAGGAAGAACAGAGAGGCTGAGGAGTTGCATTCCGTCTTGCAGCATAGCATGAACTAACGTGACGCCCTGCTCACTTCTCACTAGGAGGGGGAGCTTCCTCGAGACCAGTGAGGTGCGAGCAGTCATCATCAGCTATGCCAAGAAAAACGACCTCGTGGATGCGGACAACAAAAAGTGAGTGGATGAGGTGCAGAACCTTTGTCTGGTTTGTTAGTTAAGAATCTGATGGACATAGACACGTGTATGGAGGATCTTTGGAATGGAAGAGAGCCTAGAAAACCATGGTATCTGAAAAATACCAAGAACGGTGGTTTCTAGACAATGGGCTATGAATACCTAAAGATGCTGCATAGGCAGTTCAGATCCAGATGTGCTGTAAACAATGACTGACAACTAAATTGATATTATCACACAGATACCCACTACCGGCTTCTCAGTGCAGATGGTGGTGCGAGAAACAAAAAGTAAACTTATTTAATGACCAAAGTCATCATAGGTTCTTAGTATTCTTTATTCTCTTAGCATGGGATACCAAAATTCAACTACCAAATTTTTTTTACTTTTAAAAGGCATCCTTACGATCATTGAGTTGGGTACTACTGGCCTAACTGATAACCCTCGTTGATTATTTATTTATTGTTAATACTGGTTTATTTACAAAGTTCATATACATTTTTTTTCACACTGAATCTTTCCCATTTCCTGGACCCCCCTCTCTATCCATCAAATTGCGTGACCCTATGATTAACAGCCTTAACAGCTGCCCCTCTTCCCCCCTTGGATTCTCATACTCCTTCTATAATAATGGTCTTACACGGTATTTGTCCTTACGGGACCAAGTTAGTTCACTCAGCTAACGCTCTCCAGTCCCTCGCAAGTTAGGTAGTGATCTACAAAATCTTTGCTCCTGTGTGTTGCATAGGATTCTGTTTGAACACCCTCATTTGTTGGATTTCCTCTCTTCCCTCCTAAGAGTTCCTTCCCATCTCCTAGCCTGCTGTGAAACTAATGCCTAGAAAGCTAATTGCCTGAGGTCACGTGGTTAGTGAGAGGCAGAACTGAACAAAGGATCCCAATTTTCCCTTCACACCTTCTCCTACACCATCTGCTTCTCTTTCTAGGAAAGAGCTTGTGCCTTCCATCCACAGGGTGCACTGCTTGAGAGCTGTGGTTCCATAATTGGTTATGATCTCAAATGACTGCGAAGAACAGAATAAGAGATAAGCCCTAAGTTGGCTCTTCGGTAGGTCTTAAATTTCTTTATTGTTTGTTTCTTTTCCCTTTTAGTCTCGTGAAGTTAGATCCTGTTCTGTGTGACTGCATCTTAGAGAAAAATGAACAACACGTAGTCCTAAAACTCCCATGGGATAATCTCCTGACCAGGTATCAGCTTGGGAACTTCTGTGGTGCCTCCTCTAATATCTCTTGCTTTGAACTTTAAATCATCATTATCTCAGTCTCTGACTTTCCTTCCATAACCTGTACTGTATTAACACAGTCTTGACTGATTCTTACGTGCAATCAATCAACTTGATTCCACACATTGTAGAAGGAATTGAAAGGACAAAAGAAAAAGCTTCCACTGGAAAGAAGAATCTCGGAAAATTTAGAAGTTAAGGTGACTGCATGGTGGGGGTGAGGGTAAAAGGGAGTTACCTTCAAATCTTCAAAGACTGAATTTTTAAATACATCTATTTTTCCATAGAACCATAATTAAAAATTATTTCTATCAGGAATAGGTGAACTATATATAGCATGTGGGCCAAATTCATTTCATTGGAACACGGCCACACATTAATTTATGTATTGTCTGTGACTGCTTTTGCACGACATTTGACAGAGTTGAGCAGTTAGGATAGAGACCATACAGGGCGTGAAGCCTTAAATATTTATTGCGGCTTTTGAGGACCCTAGAATATGATAGCGAAATATGTTTACATAAAAGGTAGGAATTGCTTGCAATAAAAGTGATTGGTGATTGAAATGTGCACAGATACAGAGCAGTACTTGGTAGCAGTAGACTAGGTATGAGCCATTTTTGAGACCACTTAGGACAGTCTCCACACAGCAGACTGGGCACATTGTCAGGGGACAGGCCCGAGGGCGCTGTGTCCGTGCTGTGCTCATTCCTGTCCCCTCCTTGCTTCAGTGGATTGCATCCTTGGCTGCAATTTGAAATCATCTGCGGAGCTTTGAAGATACCTCTGCCTGGGTCCAGCTTCTAGAAACTCTGATTTAATTGTTCTAGAATGATGCTCTCTAGATGATTAGAATGATTTTATTGTGCGCCTAGACTGAAGAAAGAACATCCTGGAGAGAATAATGAGGTGTAGTGGTTTGATTTTACTTGGATCAACAGTCAGTGGCCATGAAGCCTGTAGTCATGAAATCAGGGTCTTTTACATTGAGCACAATGGCAGGAAAAGACTTCTTAACTGTTGAAAACTAAAACTGTCATTTTTAGAACTAAGGTCTCCCCGACCTAAGCTTTGGTCTTTTCAGTAGCCTCATAGGCACACCAAAAGCTGGATAAGAAAAAGAATGGGTGCATTCAAAATGTGGAATATTGACCCTTCTGAGCACTGCTGGGAGAAAGAACACACAATCTTAGAAGAAAGCCAGCCAGAATGCTCCTTGGAAATGAGGATGGCAACGCTTCAGCTCACTTTCTTTAGACACGTTGTTGTTGCTGTTCTGTGCCTTCGAGTCAAGACCAACCCGTAGCTGAGTCCCCAGCAGGTTTTCAGAGGCAGCAAATTCGCATGAGAAGAGATTGCTCCTTCTCCCATGGAGCAGCTGGCTTTGAACTGTGTGCCTTTGGGATTGCAGTACAGCTTCTTACCTCTATCCCTCTAGAGTTCCATTAGACCAATCATTAGGAGAAACCAATGGCTAGAAAATTACATCATGGATGGTGAAATAGAGGATCATTCAAGTGGGAGAAACCTTCAGTGAGAGGAATTGACACAGTGACTAAAACAATGGGCTCAAACAAGGCAACAATTGTGAAGATGGTGCAAGACTGGCCAATATTTCATCCTGTCATATATAAGGTCACCGTGAGGGGCACCTAGAGCTCGATGGCACTGACAGCAGCAGTGTGTCATCTGTGTTGAACCCGGGCCCTGCAAGGTCAGGGTGTTCCCAACAACCTGATGACGGTGGAGAATGAGGGAATGGGGACTTCCTGTACTGGCTGAATCAGTCTTCAACTCATTAATTCCCTTGTTTCAGATGTTTGGGAAAATTACAGCCTGCCTATCAAGTGACCTTCCCTGGACAAGAGCCCATTGTGAAGAAAGGGAAAATCTGTCCAATTGACATCACCCTAGCACAGAGAGCGTCTAATAAAAAGGTAAAGACAGTGATAGAGAATGGTGATTTAATGTCCCTGCTAAATACTTGTCTCTCTAATGGAGGGGTTTAGATTCTCCTCATGTATCTCACTGGTTGTTTATGAAACATGCATATTTATGTGATTGCAAAACAGGTGAAGCTGCCCCTAGAACGGAATAAATGCTGCTCTCTAGAATTTATGCTAGGAAATGTACAAAAACCTGGTTCCAAGAGTAGACAAAGGTTTTCTTTTTTCTTTGAAACTGCTATGGTTAGCACTTCTAAATCCTGTGACCTCCTGGGCCTTGCTCAATGAAATAACTTACAAAGAATTGCTAAAGGATGGACAAACATCTGCCCTCGATTCTGTGGACAGGTGGCTCCTGGAAAGGCATTCCATTTGTTTTCTTTGTCTGAAGACAGAGAACTAAGCGTGTTGATGTTAGGTGTCATAGACTACACCTCACAGCAGCCCTGTCTTTACTTTCACCAGCCTCATGGTCTGCCCTGTGCCCAAGCGCATTGCTACAGTCACTGTATCAGTCCATTTAGTTGTCTTCCTCTCTTTCTCTGATCTTCTGCCCTTCCTAGCATGATGTCTTTTTCCAAGAACTGGCTCTTCCTGGCAACATGCTCAAAGTGTGTGAGTTGAAGTGTCACCATCCTTACTTCTAAGGAGCAGCCTGGTTGGACTTCCTCTGGGATGTGCCCCCAGGTTGGGCTACACAGGAGTCAGGGACAGATTTATTTGTACTTTTGGCAGTCAATGGGATGCTCAGTGCTTTTTGTCAACAGCAAAGTTCAAAGGCATCAACTATTCCTTGGTCTTCCTTATACTTTGTCCAACTTCCAGATGTATAGGAAGCAATTGAAAATAGCAGAGGTTTGACCAGGCACACCTTAGTGACGTCCTTGTTGCTCTCTGCCACTGAGTTGGAGCTGACCCATAGCTTACCTTTCAGAGGCAGTAAATTGCACAGGAGGAGATGCCCACTTTTCTCCTGTGGAGCACCTGGTGCATTTGAACTGAGTATATCTGTGTTGACTGCATGAATTGCAGACAACAAGCTTGGATTCAAAGCGAAACGCTTTCTGTGCTCGCTTCGGCAGCACATATACTAAAATTGGAACAATACAGAGAAGATTAGCATGGCCCCTGCGCAAGGATGACACGCAAATTCGTGAAAGTGAAACGCTTTCTAATTTACTGTTAAAAGTTTAGGTTGTGAATTAGATACCCTGCTGCACAGATAGATAGATAGATAGATTTTTTTTTAGAAATTTTAATTATTATTATTCATTTTAATGAGTTTACAGAGAGTTAGGGTTTCCATTCGTTCATTGTTGCACTTTTCTCCCTGTCTACCCCCTTCCCCTACATATTTTTTTAAAACACATTTTATTGTGTTTTAAGAGAAAGTTAACACACAGATTAGTTACCCGTGTAACAGTCTGTGCACAAGTTGTTTTGTGACTTTGGCTTCTGTTTTGCAGTGTCAGCAGTCTTTCCATTTAAGACTTGGTAATGGGTTTTGTTATTATGTTAAGCAGAGTCCTTATATTTGTAGAGAAAATGATCTAATATCTTTGCCATAAAGTAATACGGAGCAAGGATAAAGATGAATCAGGTTTGACCATGAGTTGATAATTATTGAGATCAAATGGTGGGTACATGGATGAGTTCAATTTGTGATATTATTTTGTTATGTGCCATCAAGTTGCCAGCAACTCATGTTGACCCTACTTAAAACAGCTCTGAAGCCTGCCCTGTCCTGAGCCTGTCTCACTGACTCCAACACACCTACCCCCATTGCCCCAGTCACTGGCAATCCATCTCCTCCGGGGTCGTCTTCTCCTACACTGTCCCTCCATACTTCCAAGCATCATGTCCTTCTCCAAGGACTGATCCCTCCTGGCCACGTGCCCAAAGCATGTGAGACAGAGCTTCAAATCCTCGCCTCCAGGGAGAAACTTGGATTTACCTTCTACAAGACAGATCTGTTTGTTCTGGCAGTCTATGGTATTTTATTTTTATTTTAAATTTGTACTAAAAATACCATTTAAAATATATATGATGGCTGGAGTATCTTAACACATGTATTGGGTGGGGTGGAATGATGAACTTAGACTCACAAAGGTACATTATCTAGATGAAAAGTATAATTATAGGCATTGGTGAACCATCAGAAATCACAGACGTGAGGTGGCTGCAAGGTGCACAAGGCCCTGCGGAGTGGAGGGGCATGTGGGCTGCACTCCCCATCCATCTTCTGTCTTGACTGTCTTCCCAGGTGACCATCATCCGGAACTTGGAAGCCTATGGCTTGGACCCGTGCTCAGTGGCCACTGTCCTCCAGCAGCGATGCCAAGCAAGCACCACTGTCACTCCTGCCCCTGGGTCCAAGGACAGCCTTCAGGTCCAGATCCAGGGAAACCAGGTCCACCAGCTCAGCCGTCTGCTGCTTGGTGAGTGCTCCCCGCCACCTTTGCACCAGAAGCAGCAGCATGTGATGTTAAATTGGACAAAAATCTTTCAGCCAACTCACTTTAATCCAGCTATCATAACACCACTGTATATATTGCACATAGTTTTTATCAGATTCAGTCCCATCCCTAACACTACAGATCTGTGAGGCCAGTACTATGGTGATTATGATTATGATAAGTGAAGAGTATGAGAGGAAGGGGATGCTGCACGCTAGCAAGATGTGGAACCAAGGTTTGAGCCAGATTCTCGACCTCCAATTCAGAGTCCTCTCCGCCATACTGGTAGCTCTCTTCCTGAGTGTCCTTCATAAGCACTTCCTGAGCACGTCCACTGTGCCATACACTTTGCTGGACTTTTGTCAAAGTATTGGGTCTCCCTTGCAGAAGAGGTAACTTGAGGTTCAGTACCTTGCCCTGAGTTCATCTTTTGAGTGCTGGAACTGGACTCTGAACTTTGCTTTTTCAGACACCTAAATTTGAGTTCTTTTCATTCACCAACCCTGGATCTCATTCACCAACCCTGGATCTCCCAGGTTCCTGTTTGCCTTCAGTTCAAATCATCCTCCAAGTCTTTGCCTGAGTTGACTTTCTAAAACAGATGTGCGATTTCACCTCTGTGCCTTCAGAATAAACTCCTTCCCTCACCCCAGTCTTCAATTCAAGCTGTCTTGACAGCCCCAACTCTGTTCTCAGCTATGTTGGTCTCCTCCTGCCCCCAACCCCCCACGTGTGCTATAACACTGCACCTGCACTTGTCCGTGGGCCATTCCCTCACTTCGTGTACCCTCCTGACCTTGTGAAACCCCAGCCCCTGTGAAACCAGCCCTGGAGAATGTCTGTCTTTCTTTATGTGCCCGTAAATTAACATCTTTGTTGAAGGTTATTTGAATTTTATTTTATGTTGAATTATTTACTCCAGTGCTTTAAGTTTTTATTTCTTCAGTTTCTTCTGGGAGATCTTTTTCTTCTGGGCAACCTCCTCTTCTGGTTTAGGAACAATCTGTTCCTTTTCAGTAGGGATCATCTCAGTGTGGCAGGGGGAGCTCATGTAGGGGTTAATCCAGTCATGAGCTCTGTACATGCGCTGGTGCATCTTGGGAGCTTTGTTCACCTGGATATGCTCAATGACTGGAGAATTGCCATCTAAACCCTTAAGTTCAGGATTACTCTCTGTTAGTGGCAAGAAGCTGTACTGCAATCTTGAAGGTATGTGGTTTGAGGCCAACAGCTGCTCAACGGGAGAAAGATAATCATTCTCCTTTGGATTACCGCCTCTGAAAACCTGCCAGAGGGTCAGCTATGGGTCAGTTCCAGCTCTACAGTACATAACAAGAGCAAAAACTCAGGCCACCAACCCTGTGTCCAACGCCACCGTTTGGTCTGGACACACCTACCAGCTTCACCATTGTCACATTGGGATGGCACACACTGCAAAGTGACGTCTTTCAGATACTTGGTGACTTTCCAGATACGCATACCCTTGATGTTCTGGGCATATTTTGATGGTCTTTAAATGGACCTGGAGATTTGAGCCTCTTGATTTGCATGATTTTGTGGGGTTTTCTAAGTAATGAACCATTTTGGGAGATCAGCTGAGGCTGCTCACGGAAAGAGTTAAATTAACATTCTTTTTAAAGTGCTAAGAAAGCCCTTTCCAGTGAGCCCCTTGACAGCATGGGCCTGGCCTTTTTCATCTTCAGAGCCTGTCACATAGTAAATGCTCATTTAGCAAATTTATTGCGTGACCCAAGGCAAGGCCCACAATTAAAGTCTAGAGTTGAGCCTCTTTATGAGAAGAACCCCAGTGAGGTGCCAAGAGGAAAACGGATGCACACGCAATTGAACACAGGCATAAAGACATACCTTCTCTCTCATGAGAAAATCATAACACCACCAAGTACACTAGAAAGTGATCATTATTGTGGAAGCTGCTGGAATGTGTACCTTGGCCTTGAAAAATCCCCGCAAGCCTCCCATGAGGGTTCCTGAGCAGATCCTTGGCAGCAGAAGTAAGCACACTGTCGGGCTTTGGGGCTAGGAGGTGAGCTGTGCAGAACCGAGGCCTCGCTGGGCCAGGGCCACAGAGTGAGAGTGTGAGGCCAAGGCTGCAGGGGCAGCAGGACAGAGACCTGGGATTCTCTGCTGAGGGGTTTCTATTTTTTTGATTGTAGATGAGTACCAGCTCCCTCGAAAATACATTCAAGGCCTTGAAAAGGCCCCCAAACCTGGCAAGAAGAAGTGACAGACTCTTACTCCATGTCCTGCATCCAGTGGAAGTCCAAGCATGGGGCTGGTAATTTATATGAAGATTTTCAACTTTTGCTAATGAAAAAAATTCTTTACCAAAATAAATTTTTATTCTACTGTAAATCTGATTTCTCCTTTGTTTCCTCCACTTAGCTTAAATGTTCCAAGTTTTAAAATCGGAAGCATTTTAAGTTGACCGTGGAGTGTCTTTTCCATTCATGTGGGTTCAGTGGTTTAGTTCCTCCCCTTTCAAGTTAGGACAGCCCATTTAAAAATCGAGCAGATGGGGCCTTCCTGTTTTTGAAGCCTCTCACCCAACTATTCCATAGCCTCTTGCTCATCTGTTCCCACTAATTAACCTCTAAGCCAAAAATAGTTCTTGCTTCTAAAGGATTATTCATATAGGAAATAACGCAGCTGTTCTCTGTCATCAGTTCAGGCAACAGAATAAAGAATTGGCCCTTAATTGCAGCAGAATTCAGACTAGCTAGAAATGAGAAACAATAGAAGCCCACCAGGACATGGATATCTGTATGACAGCAATTCTTCCCCAGTTCTGGCATACCGCCACCAACCATGGTAGATTTGTGATGTGGCTCCAAGATGACAGCTTTGTGACAGTGCGGAGTCTTATACAGCAAATGCCTTCTTTAGCTCTGAAATGCTTAGTCTCCAATTCACAGGAGTCTCTACTTGGTCTTCAGCGGGTCCGTGGCCCTCCTAAAACTGTGAGCAAGATTTTGTGTGATATATTTCCTGAGGGCAGGGTCACGCTTCTGTCCAGGTCCCAAAGGGATCACCTAATAGCAAAAAGGTTCAGTGCCAGTGCTGTAGACCCTGCCCTGTTCCGAGGGTCACTTCTGTAGACAGCACTTCTTAGAAAAGGATGTGGTTGGGGGGAGGGATGTAGAGAAAATAGTACAACAATGAATGAATGGAAATCCAAAGTTTCTATAAATATTCATTAAATTTAATAAAATTTAAAAAAAGAAAAGGATGTGGTTGGTAGAGGCCAGTGAAAGTAAGGGATGGCCTAACTCAGATGAAGTCACATGATAGCTGAGACAGCAGTTCAACCAAGATGAACACAGTGCGGGACCATGACACATGTGATTGTTACACGCAAGGCTACCGTAAGTCAGAGCTGACCCGACAAATACTAACAGAAACAGGGATAGAGGTCCATATGAACACTATGGGCAGGATGGTTAGTGTTCACACACAAACCTGAGGCTTTGCACTCTTGGAGGGCCTGGAGGGTACAAAAAGGCGGTGCACACGAAGCCAGTACACGGTGGCACCGAATCTGAAATGAATGTTTGTAAACCAGAATTCTGCTCTGACAAAGTGCCGTCAAGGCCTGTGCTTTGGGCAAGTTTTTCCACCGAGAAGCCATCTTCCATTTCCCCATGTGAACACCACCAAGTGTGCCTGGGAGCTAAGCTGTGCGGTGGAGTCCCCTTTCTATGTGCTAAGTTAAACACTGTCTAGATCAAAGGTGCTGCTTTTCTTAATCCTATGCTGAAACCATTTGAGTTTCAAGGAAAAGAGCAGAAACTCATCACTACCAGGCTTTGGAAAAATTCTTGGAAGATGTACTTTTGGAGGTCTAGGTGAGCAAATGCTGTAGGTATGCCCCATTCTTGGGTAAGTTTTGGAGTGTCTGTGGGGTGAGCTCTTTGCTCTCCTAGAGAGGTTGGCGGCTGAATGGCTGCGCCCCTGCAGCCCACGGCCACTGCAGTGTATGTGATCAGTACTGGAAGGAAGCGAGGAACTCCTTTATGATGACTGGCTGTTGCCTTTGGTAGAAGTCAGAGACTGCAAAGTGAGAACTCTGCTTATCTTTCCAGCCCTGTGTCCAGGTGAGGGTGGCTCAGGCCTATCTGCCCTCCTTTTTAGTAACTCCAGAAGTAGAGTCATTGCTTACTAATAATGGCTTAGCTCATCCTGTGTTCACAGTTCCAGGCAGTCCCTCCTGTTTCTACCTCAGCATCTTTTTATAGTAAGCTCTCTTCTCTCTCCATCTTGTGGAGATGTGGAATAGCCAGTCACCTAGGCAGTGTCCAGCCCAAGCATTTGGATGCTTTCCTCAAAGCTATTTGTCTGCCCTTTTCTGCTGACTGACAGAAAGCCATCAATGGTGTGCCCTCCTCTGTCCCCACTCTCCCAGCTCCCGATTCCCATTCTAAGGGGAAGCTCAAGAAAGAAGTCCCTGATACCAGTCAGTTTTGGAACAAGCTTTTATTACTTTTTTTTTAACCCCATATAAGAAAGAGACTTTAAAAGAAAATATCCTCAAAAGAGACACGCGGAGCATCATGACTGTGGAAGGCACTACCAGCAGCGAGGCCCACCTCTGGAGGGAAGGATTATTTATACTTTTTTTTTTGAGGCTTAAACCTCAGCATTAGGTCCTGGGTCTAACTGTGCTTTAGATAAAATGTAACTTTTATTCTTAATTTTTTTTATTTCATAAACACCCTATCTCTTCATATATATATATATATATATAGCCATATGCCTTTTATGTTTATGTACACGAACACTCTCACACACTTTTCCTTCTCAAAAATAAAACAGCCATCCCCATCCGAGGGAGGTTCTCAGCAGCATTCACAGCACTTGCAGCAGGAGCCATGCCTTCTAGTAATGTCAGAGACATGCAGGAGGGAGGAGGGGGACGACCCACTTCCTCTAGGACACGGCAGGGGAGGGGGATTTTGAAGGACGAGGTGTGATACAGCTGAGCACAAGATGGCAGTTAACCAGGGTGTCTGTGGACTAAAGATCTGTTAGAGTTGCCAGCTCGCCTTGCTTTTGCAGCTCTTGATGGTTTGTCTGACAAGGGTCAGCATTCCTTCTGTGATCAGAGGCCGTGTGGACTCAGCAAGGGTCAGTCAGGAGGGAATGTTTGAGGTTCCATAAGGAAACTGGGGCTTGAGCCAACCCGAGAAAGAACTGAGTGGGAAGGCAAAAAAAGACGGCCAAGACATGGCCTCTCAGGGGGGGAGACTGGAAACGGGCCCCGCTTCAGAAAGGAAGGGCCCTCTCTCTAGGTTTTGCAGTACCAGCTACTTGTTTGAATGGTTTGGTTCATTTATAACTTTTTCCTTTTCAGTTCGAACCTAAACAAGGTGCCAGTTCACTTGCACAGCTGGGCATGCCTGGTCAACATGGCCTGACTTTCACTTCTTGGAAGTAAGGGCCCCGGAACCCGGAGGGTGGTGTGTAAGCCTTGCCCCACCAATGGGGCGAGGGCCCTCCTGGCCTTGTCTTCCACACTGCTGGCTGCCCTCCTGGCAGGAGCAGGCCAGTAGCAGAGCTTCAAGCAAACATGCCTGCTCCTGTCTTTCTTGGAAAACAAAAAGAAAAGGCACTGAGGTCGAAGGGGAGGCCAGGCCCACAGGCTCCTGTTCCTTTTTCATACCATCATACTGAGGGCTGGCCCGGGCTGCAGAACAGAAAGGTCTCTCCACACTGGCTGAGCTGGAAGGTTCCCCTCTTCAGTCAATACAACTCCTCTGGCAGTACCTGGATCTCCCAGAGTCCAGGGGGAGGAGGAGGTGGTGCTGGAGGCCCCAGGAAGATAGGGACCCCTCCAGGCCCTCCTCTGCCCTCTAGCTGGTGGGGGTGCTGCGGTCAGCTTTGACGTGGATTTTAACTTTATCTAACTGCCTGATTTCCTTACTCAGCAGGAGACTTTAAAAAAAAAAAGTAAATGGTTGGTTTCCCATTGGAGGAAAACATGAGGTTAATGGCAATCAATTTTCAGATTTGTAGCTGAGAAACAAACAGGTTGTTGACAGACGTGACTAGAGACTGTACCAGCAGGTGCAGGCCTTTGGGTTTATGCGGGCACAGGCTCTTGGCTGTAGCTGCTCCCGAGATCTCTGAGCCAAGCTTAGCTTTGGTGCCGCTTCCCCTGGGGTCTGGAACCAGTACTTTATGACCTTCCCTTAAGCATGGGCCACAGGCACCTTGGGCATGGGAACCATCCTTTTATGAGCACTGTCCTGCTTTCAGGACCAAGCTCAGACCTGCAGAAGGGAAACGCTACAGCTTCTGACTCATAAATAAAGGTCACTGTGGGCAGCAAGAGACATGGAACAAAGAGTAAAAGCTCAAAAAGGAACAGGTAACTCTAAAACCTTTGTCTTTCCTTTGCCAGCTGGTGTGACAGGTTCCACTTTGGAGACGAGAGAGGCAGCTATTTGGTTTGTGAAAGGCTCGCAGACTGAGAGGACGACGGTGGTTCTGTGTACAGGAGCACTGATCCCTGGGCAGAATCAAGGGGGCGCAGCAGGGCAGGACAGGCAGGCAGGCACCCTGCAGACAGCTGTCCCCAGGAGAGGGGGTGCCACCTCGGGAACTGCAGGCCCAACACACGTGTGCCCACCACAGGCGTCCTGAGAAAAAGTATCTGTTGCAAAATAATAATTAATAATAATAAAAATAAATCCGAGGGCTTCAGGAGGAGAGGAAACAGGACCGGTTACCCAGGTTTGCCCTGGGATTCTCGTAAGGCCTCTTCCAGTTTCTGCCTAAACTTGTCATACTTCTTCTGCACTTGCTGGATTTTGTCCTGCTCCTCTTTTTCCAGTATTGTCAGGAAGTTCTGGAGCTCCGGGATGGAGAAGGCATCCCACTGTAAACAAGAAGGAGGCAGTGGGGAGGAGAAATGGGAAGAGACAGGTTAGGGCTGGCATGCTACCTCCCTCCTCACCCCATTTACACCTGATTCCTAGCATCTGATAGTGCGCCTTGCTGGGTGCCATCAAGTCGATTGTGACTCGAAAGTTGTGACAGAGCAGAACTGCCCCCAGGGTTTCCTGGGCTGTAGTCTTCACAGGAGCAGATGGACGGGCTGGAGCCGCCACGCTTTCATATTGCAGCCAAGTGCTTAACTGGTGCACCACCAGGCTTCCTACTGCAGCTGAATTGGCAGGTATAATGAGTGAGGTTTGTTTTCTGTCATTTTAGCAAGAAAATTTAAATCCTTGTATCTCATGACTGTGCCCTTTGTTTTTTTAATTTTAGTTTTTATTTTTTGTGTGTACTGTCAAATTGGATCTGACTGGTACAGGAGGAGATTGTCCTTCCTTCTCCAGCAGAGCATCTGGTGGATTCAAACCACGTACCTCTGAGACTGCAGTACAGCTTCTTGCAAATGTGCCTTATTTTTTAAACAAAGTGTTTAAAAATATTTATTATTATTATTATTATTAGATGTGTGTGTTCCATTAAATCAGATCTGACTGGTACAGGAGATTTCCTTCCCCTCCTCCATCAGAGCATCGGGTGGATTTGAACTGTGTACCTCTGGGATTGCAGTGCAGATTCTTGCCACTAGGCCACCAGAGCTCCCTTTTTTTAAAAAAAAAAATTTACATTGGTTTGCTTACAAAGTTTGTATACATTGTGTTTCACACTATTCTTCATTCACCTTTTGTTTCACACAATTATTCCCATTCACTATGTTTTATAAAATTAATTGCCTGGTTTGGATCCACTAGATGCTCTGCTGGAGAAGGAGGGACAATCTCCTGTACCAGTCAGATCCAATTTGATGGTATACACAAAAAATAATAAAATTTTTAAAAAAATTAATCACCATTGGACTATGCCACTCCATTACCCTGTCTTTTCAGGTCCTCACTGGGTCTTTTCCATTTCCATCACCCCCTCCCTCCACCCACCAAATTGAGCAACTCTGTGATTTTGCCCCCACCCACACCCTCATCCCTCTACTCCAACCCCTTCTCCCCTTGGGTCCCCATACATGTCTTAATAATTCCTTCTATTTTTACAATAATGGTTTTATGCTTTCTAAAGTTAAATCCCTGTGCACATCCAAAACTTTTTTTCCAGTAGGGTGAAAAGAAAATCAACCAACTGGGAAAAAACATTTGGAAATACTATCTCAGACAAGCTTCTCATAATAAAAGTTTACAGAATACTCCTGGGCCTCCAGAAGGAAAAGGCTGATAATCCAATTACAAAATAGGCAAAAGACATGCAAAGACTTCACAGAGGAAGACATTTGGAAGGCTGACACATGAAGAAATGCTCAAAATTAAGGGCAATAAGAGAGACCCAAATCAAAACTCTAATGAGATACCATCTCACTCCAATAGCAGTAGCAAAGTATTAGGGCAGCAAGCAATAAATGTTGAAGATATGGAGAGGTGAGAACTCTCTTACACAGCTGGTGGGATTTTAAATGGTACAACCACTCTGGAAGGCAGTTTGGCATTTCCTCAGAAAGCTAAACATAGAAACTGTATGACCCAGCTATTCCATTACTAGGAATATACCCGAAGGAAATTAGAACTGAGACATAAACGGAGATTCATACACCAGTGTTAACAGCAGTGTTTATCACCATTACAAGAACATGGAAACAGCCCAAATGTCCAACTAGAACAGAATGGATTGAGAAACGGTGGTACATTCACACAATGGAATACTACGCAGCACTTAAGAGCAATGATTTTGAAAAATACTACATAACTTGGGAGAGACTGGAGAGCATTTTGCTGGGTGAACTAATTCAGTCTCATAAGGACAAATACTGTATGACTGTGCTTTTGAGAACTGATAAATGTTCAATATCCTCTATGGCATCTAGATGTTGATGGTGGTGGTAGGAAGTCCCCAGGTCCCCCTCTGGCCTGTCCCCAGGATCTGTGTTGGGGCGGGGGTTAGCTCTAGGCTTCCTGACAGGGTGGTAGGAAAGCTCTGGACCTACACATGCGAGACCTGGGTCTTACCAACTCTGACCTGTGCTCACCACTCCACCCTACCTCTAATTCCAGTGACTTCCTGGAGCAGCCAGAGAGTTAAGAGGAGGCCACCACCTGGACAGCGCTGGAAGGCCTGTCAGAGAGGACCCGCCTTCTCAGGGCACGAGTCCCGTCTGCCTTGTTAGGCTGACCCAGGTCAGGCTGACCCAGGAGCTGAGAGGGCAAGGATTTGGACACCTAAGCTCTTCTGAGCACAAAGATGTATTAAGTTGATCAGGTGTAATGCTCACACTGGAGAGCGGAGAAGATGGGTCTAATAATGCAAAGGTGGTTCAGGCTTTCCTATGGTCACAGGGCTGCGGCAGCAGAACCAGGCCTAGAACTAGAATCCAGGCCAGCACCCATCCGCGGTGCGTGTGTACAGGGGACTGGCAAGGCTCAAGTATTCTCAGTGCAATACTTTTTCCAAACAAAACCTTCCACAGACTCCAGTACCTGAAGCAGATGGAAGCAGAGCTGCCCTGGATGCAGAGGGCAGGGAGCAGCCCCTGCCTGCCTCGACTGCCCCAAGTTCCCACAGTGATCTTACCCCAGGACTCATGAGTGCAGCATGGCCAGTGCAGGACAGCACTTCAGGCGGGACCCTGCTCACCCTCACCTCACCTTTCCTCTCCACGGCCCCACTGGCCTGGTGTTACCCTGGTTTATTCAGCACCGTTAGGCTCTCCTGGAGGAGGCTGGCTCAGAATGATCTCTATAACAGAACCTGCTGACCTCTTGCCACCCCAGACTTAGGGAGTTTCTCAGAACCCCTCCACCCTCTGCATTCAGCAGCAAAACAGATGAAATCTTTCCTTTCCTCAGGCCTTGCCAGGTGGTGCTGACAGTCCTGGCTTACAGTGAACCTTCTGAGCCAACACTCACTCCTGCTCAACCCAAGTCACTCGCTGGCGGTTGTCCTCCACTCCCACCTGCACCAGGTGTTCAGGACAGTGCCTGGTGCACCCTCCCCTGGGCACCTGAGGGCAGGGCTGGGGCACCAAGCAAAGGGCGTGCGCTTACCTCCACGTCTCCAGTCTCATTCTCTTTCAGCACAAAGCTGAGGACCTCGGTGTCGGGGCCAGCAAGCAAGCGCAGATGCAGAGGGCAGTCGGCCACGGAGAGTTTCTGGAAAAGCACTGCAGAAGAGAGAGGGGCTGCGTGCTCATCTTGGAAAAGGCGGGCAGGGGCCCAGGGCGGGGGCACGGAACAGGAAAAGCTAGAACCGGAAATGGCTATCCGTGTCATCCCCAGAGACACAAATCAGACAGGAATAAGTACAGAGGCGGAGAATCAGGAAGCATGTGGAAGAATGGTGTTAAATGAAGATTGTAAGCAGTGTCCCAAAACTAAATGGGTACAGATTGTTGAATGGGAAATGAATGTGTTCTGTAAATTTTCACCCCAACTATAACAGAAAGTGAAATAAAAATGTAAGTACGGTAATAGCCTCCTATGTTGGGTGTCTGCTTAGAGTTTAATGTTTCCATTCACACATCACCCAGGAGTGGCAGGGAGGGTGCGCCCCAAACACAGATTCTGAAATGGGAGCCCCTGGTGTGGTTTCCGGGCACTCCCGTGGGATCAGGGGATGTCCTGCCCAGAATCCATGCATCTGAGTATCATTAGGATGGCTGACTCGTGTCCACAGCAGAGCCCACTCCGTCCAAGTGTGACGGTGCTGGACAGAGCTGGGGAAAGGACTTCCTGGCTGGGGACTGGCTGTCATACCTTGCCCATCCTGGTGTATCCGCTTAAAAAGTGCAAACTTCTGGGGGTTGTCCACGACCATGAACTTCTTGAGAAGCCCCTGGATGACCTCGCTGACCGTGGTCGTGCTGCTGATGTGCAGCTGCTTGATGGCATCGAGTGGCAGGTAGAAGGAGGTCCGCTTGTCGGTGGTGGCCGCCAGGTTCACTTCCTTGATGGCGTCATAGATGGACTGCGGCCGGATCCCGGCTGGCACCGTCACCGGCCGCCGCAGTTTCAAATGCACTTTGATGAAACCTGTGTAGGTGCCGTCTTCACTCTGTCAGGGGACAGTGTCATACGGGGTCAGGGTGGGGTCCAGCTACCACTCTGGGGCACTGCTCCCGGGGCTGTAAAGGCCTTTCCTAATGTAGAGTGCCACCCCAGGGCGCCAGACACCCACCTGTCTGATTTCCTTCCTGCTTCTGCTCGTCTGGATGCAACGGAAGGAGAGAAAGGTCTCTCCCCACAGTGAGCCGGGAGGAGCCCTCAGAATCCAGCGACCAGCAAGCATTTTAGGACCTTTTTCCTACAGGAGGCTCAGGCTCTGGCTCCAAGATTCCTTCACCCAGCAGATGCCAACTGTCCCGTGAGTCCCCACCCTGAACCTCCTAGTTCACACCTCCAAACAAGGCATTGCTCTTCCTTCTCCCTGGGACTCCCCTGGAAAGGAGGAAGAAGGCTCCCTAATATTCTTCTTGGAATACCATATTTCCTCTTGCAAATCTTTCCAGAGAACTCACAGTAAGACTGATGTCAAGCCATTTGCCTGGACTTTCTGGCACCCTACCTACCTGGCTGGGTGGCACAAGTGACCTGTATTTGACTAGTGTGTGTGTGTGTTATGTTCTGTGCTACTGGGAGGCCAACAGTTCGAATCCACCAGCCATTCCTCTTCGGAAGAAATATGGATAGTAAGCGTCAGAACCCCAAAGAAGGGTGGCCACAAGTCAAAGTCAACGCAACAGCAAAAGGTTTGGCTTTTTAATTTATTATTGTTGGGCCCAAAGGTCCAGTGTTATTCTCTTTTGGAGGAACATTCTAAGTTATACAGCACTCCTCTGTCAATTTGCTGCACTGAGGCAATCCTGGGGTTGCTGTGATGCTGAAACTTGTGCCATTGTGGTTCAAATGCCATAACGGCTGCCCATGGTGGACAGTGTTTGGTGGAGCTCCCAGTTTAAGACAGGTCTGGAAGCAGGAGTGGCATCCACTTCCTAAACCACATGCCTCTGGAAACTCTATGAACTTGGAGAAACGACGATAATTATAGAAAGGCTTCAGGCCTGATAGGGTCACTATGAGTCGTGCTCAACTTGATGGCAATAAACAACAACAATGTGCCACTGAGTCAACTGCAGCTTATAGCAACCCTATGTACAACAGCTCTGATCCCTGTCCTGTCCTGAGCCATTCTCACTGTCTCTGACACACCTACCCCCATTATCCCAGTTACTGTGTCAATCTCTCTCATCCAGGGGCTTCCTCTCCTGTGCTGTCACTTCTATCCTTCCAAGCATGAAAATATTTTGGTTTATGAACCAAAATAATGGTTATTTGAACCCAGCCAGTGGCACTTTGGACTAAAGGCCTGGAGATCTGTCTGAGCAGAGACTACAGTCAGGAAAACCCTGGGGAATTGCTGCGCTCTGTAATATATGGATGGGGTCATGTGAGCCAGAATCTACCCCAGGGACTTGACCAGACTGGCCAGTTACCCGCAGCCACCAGCAGGGGGCAGGGCTCTTCTACCCTCCCCTCCCTTCCCTGTGAGGACCTGGCCCCAAGCTGAACACCTCCCTTTCTCCCCAGCACCCACACAATCTAAGAACATTCCCCAGGCCAGATAACAACAGATGCCAGAAACAAGAGGGGCAGTGGGAGGAGCTGCAAGCCTTGTCCTGGGCTTCCTGGCATCAGGCCATCAGTCTGTCAGCCACTATTCGCCATTTAATTCCCACCAGATCTAGGGCAGAGGAATACTAGTATCTCTGGTTTACACTGACACTCAGTGGAGTTAACTTCCCAAAGTCACATGCAGAAAAGTGGAGGAACCAGAACCTGGATTCCAGGTCTCAAGCCCATTCTCTTTTCCTCAAGGTCACTAAGATTCTGGCTCCTGAGCCCAGAACAAAGTGGGGAGAGAGCTGAGGAGCCTGACCACAGGGGCGCAGGGGCCAGGCAGGGCTCACCAGCTTCATGCCCAGGCAATTCCTCTCCCGCGTGTTGTAGCTGTCGATTTTCTGCTTGATCTCCTGCAGCGTGGGTGGCCGCCGCGTCTCCTCCACAGGCTTACAGACATTCTGCAAGAGACATGAAGCTGGGGTGAGCACACTGGTTCTCAGGCCGAGAGAGGTGACAGCGACGTGCCCCAACTACCTCTCTGCCTGAGAAATGGTATCGGTCCCACACAGGGACTCAGGGGGGGGAGAAATGAACTCCAACCCCACCTGTGTCGTTGCTGCAGGCTGCCGCCCTTGGCAAAGCAATGTAAGGCCCTCTGTGCCTCAGTTTCCTCCCCTATGACATAGGAACACCACAGACATGAGGGCCGGTGTACAGCCCGGTGCATCTTGACAAAGCCATACTGTCATGTGCCCCCATCACAACCATTCAGAATATTACTGTCTTCATCACGTGCTCAGAAACCCAGTGGAAGGTCAGTTATGTGCCCGTTTTGACTTGATGGTAAAGAGGGGAGGAGTGAATGAACCAGGCCCTGGTTCATCTCCCGTTCTTCCCTCCGCCCCAAATCCTGGCCACCTACTCATGTTTCTTTATGTATAGTTTTGCCTTTTACAGAATATTACATAATTGGGATCATACAATACATAGATTTTTTAAGATGGCTTTTTCCATACTCAACAACATACATTTATAAAGTTCCTCCATGTCTCTTTGCATCTTGCTAACTCATTTCTTTTATTTTTAAATGGTATTTTATTATTTTTAATGAACATTTACAGAGATTTTGGATTTCCATTCATTGTTGCATTTTTATCCCTGCCCACCCCTCCCCACTCCAGTTCGCTCTTCTCTTTGAAAAGTAAAAGAAAAATTCTTTCATTGGTATACAATCCCCTCCCACCTACCCCCAGTACACTCCACTATGCAGCCTTCATTCTGGACTCTTGTCATGATCATAATACCCAATTATATATTGCTTTTAAACTGTTCTCTCAATCATCTGTTTCAATGCAGTATACATAATTTATCCAATTTTTCTCAGTCTCACCCCAACCCTGATGTCAGTCCCATTCTACAACCGTGGCACTATGCAGTATTTGTCCTTTTGTGACTGAGCTACTTCACTCAGCATAATGTCCTCCAGAGTCACCCATTTTGTATAATATTGCATGAATTCCCTGTTTTTCAGTGCAGCATAATATTCCATTGTGTGAATATACTGCAGCTTCTCTATGCATTTGTTTGTTGATGGTGCTAACTCATTTCTTTTTGTCATTGTATGGATGTATCACAGTGTGTTCATTCAGCCAGCTATTGGAGAATGTCTTGGCTGTGTGGTGTTCTTCTGTGACGTCAGGATTCATCCCCCCCCCCACCCTCGTGTGTTTCCTGAAGGTCTGGCCCCTCCAGGGAAGGATTCAGGAGGAATGGGGTTGGGAGAGGTGATTCTGAGGTCTAATTATGTAGTCGGTAGGGAGTTGCGAGGCTAACTTGAAAGCAGTTACCTCTCTGGCAGGTCAAATCCACTGGCTGCTCCATGAAGGAAGACAGGCAATTCCTTGCATGCTGTTTACAGCCCCTGACAACTTGACAGAGGGTCAGCTATGAGTCCTGACTGACGGCTGTGAGAGGTGACCCTGTGCACTCACGCCTACATTTCCCCTGAATTTGCTGCCACCTCAACGTGGGTTTGTCTTCACATTGTCCCATGTGGTGTGGCTGGAAGTGTAGAAACCAGTTCAGTGGAACTTGGGGTCAGAAACCACCCAGGGTTTGCCTGACATTAGAAAAGATCTGGTAATCTTGGTACAGATCAGGGTTCTCCTTTGGCAAATGAGGCACTGAGGCTCAGAAAACATGACAAAGGAGAGCAAAGGGAGCTGGAGTTCTCTGTACAGCCTCGCAGAGGCTGTCCTGGGCTTGTTAGTGGAATCTGACATCACTTACAACCAACCACCAAAGCGCATCCCCACAGAAGACAGCCCCTGACTTCCCCCAGTAAGCCTGTCGGGGAGAGGCACGTCACACCGGACAGCACACCATCATTTCCTCCTCCCACTTTCCCGTTCCACGGAGCGAGGAAAGGTCACATCCACTGCCACCCACTGCCAACAGGAGGTGCTGGAGCAGCGGGACTGAGGAGCAGCCCCGGCCCTGACCTCCCCGCAACACTGGGCACCACAGTGAGCTCCGTCCTCTCTCGTTTCCATCACAGCCATTCTCTCCCGGGGATCCTGATAACAACAGCAGTGGACTAGGGTCTCTGACATGACTCTTCCTGCATACAGTTTCCACACTCCTCTTTTTACAGATTAAAAAACTGAGGCTCAGAGGTTAGGGACATGACCATGGTCCCACTGTACTAAGCAGCCAAGAACAGAATAGGTACAAAGCTATGTTTATGCCCATCAACGAATGGATAGAGAAACTCTGGTATATTCACACAATAGAGTACTATACTGCACTAAAAAACAAGAAATTCATGAAAAATACCATAAAAAATGGGTGACCCTGGAGGACATTATGCTGAGTTAAATATCTCAGTCACAAAAGGACAAATATTGCATAGGGTCATTGTTGTAGAAGGGGACTGACATCGGGGTTGAGGGAAGACAGGAAGGAGGGAAGGAATGATGTATACTGCACTGAAACAGATGAGGGACAGAACTGTTTAAAAGGGATATATGATTAGATATTATTGTTATGAGAGGAGTCCAGAACGAAGGTAGCATAATGGAGTGGACTTGGGAGGAGGGGTTGAATAACAATAAAAGAATATTTTCTTTTACTTTTCAAAAAGAAGAGCAAATTGGAGGGAAGGGATGGGCAGGGAGAAAAGTGCAACAACGAATGAATGGAAATCCAAAGTCTCTGTAAATTTTTATTAGAATAAAACAAAAAATTTTAAAAAAACCCCGAAACTACGTTTACACATTATGCTCCTCTGCTTCTCTCAATTCACCTACAAAAAAGAAAAATTACAAGATGGAAAGAAAATTCCAGGAAGCCTGGGAGGGTCTCATTTCTAAGTTCTCCACCGAGATATGACATTTCCCTGTAAGAAGCAGCAGGGCCGTGGTAATCAGAGGCCAGCATCCACGCCTACTTTTGGGCACAACAAGCCTCAGAGCAGAGCTATCACAGCCTAAGATGTTTTCTTCTTCCTGTTCCCCTTTCCTTGAGCAGATAAACCTTTATATTCTCTTTCTTTCCTACCACAAACCTAGGGAAGTGATGCAAGTGGCCTTCCAGGGGTGACGCACAAGACAGCCGACCTCAAGCTTCCACAGCAGCCTCCTGGGCGGCTGGGAGGAGGAGCAGGGCCCTGGTGGGAGGCCCCGGGACTTCAGCTCCCAGGTCCAGGTGGCCGCTGCCCACACAGCCCTGGGCACACATGACCTGGATGGAATGAATCACCTCCTGGAGGAGGCCCACCCATCAGTGAGCAAGCCACGGGATGCAGGGCCCACGAAGCTGCCCCCCATCTAAGTGAGAGCACCGTGGAATCATCTGAAAACTTTAAAAACAACAAGCCAGCCTGGGCTGCCACCGCACACAATGATTTAACTGGTCTGGATCAGCCTGGAGTGTAGAGGTTTCAAAATTAAAGCAGCAACGTTTAAGATGTCGCCTAGAGCCCTCGTTAGTTAGTCAGTCCAGGGTCCCCAACCAGCTGCGAAGAATGAACACGTTGGTGCTCGTGAACACCCACTGCTCCACAGGACGCCCCAAAAGCGAGAACGAGGGCATCAGCTCTATGAAAGAGATCCATCCTAACCCGAGGGGAGGCCTGGTGTGGGAGCGTGGGCAAGCCGATTCCGACTCTCGGTGATTATACAGCAGAACTGCTCCCTAGTGTTTCCAAGGATGCCTATCTTCCCGAAGGCAACGGCCTCATCGTCCTACCGTAGAACAGATGGTGGGTTTGAACTGTCACCCTTTCCATTAGCAGCTGAGTTCTTAACCACTGCACATATCCTGGAGGGTAGGAGAGAAAACTCAGTTTCTACCCACCTACCAAGTTCTCTAAACCACATGCCTCTGGAAACTTTACGAACTTTGATAAATGACAATAGTTATAGAAAGGCTTCAGGCTTTTTGTTCGTAGGGTTGCTGTGAGTCGTACTGGACTTGACGACAATCAACAGGCTCTCAAGGCTTCAAAAGTGTAAGGTGTGCATTGATCTGTAAGACATTTGAAAACATGTAGGTAGGGCTATGTCTCCCAGCACAGCCGCGAGAGGGAGGAGAGACAGAGACAGACAAGAGAGAGAAGTCAGACGAGAGAGAGACAAGACAGAGAGAGACAAGAGAGAGAGAGAGGAGAGGAGAGGAGAGGAGAGGAGAGGAGGGGAGAGAAGAGATAGGAGAGGAGAGAAAGAGAGAGAGAGGAGAGGAGAGAGCAAGGAGAGAGAGAAGAGGAGGGAAGGGGAGGGGAGAGGAGAGGAGAAGTGGGAGACGAAGAGAGAGACAGAGAGAGCATGAGAGAGATATGGAATGGGTCTCTATGAGGACAGAGCAGATCCAGGCCCTGTCCTGTGGGTGCCGCTCCTGGTGGATTACGCAGCTCAGTGCGTTGGACACAGAGCTCATCTTGGATTAAGCTGCTGGCGTTGGTGGCAGATGGCTTAGCTGTTCTCAGTGCACCCAGCACAACCAGAGCCCTGGTGGAAACAGGTTCAAGCTGATGTGCCCTGAGCCACAAAGAGCTGTCTCCCCTCTCAGCTCTCCAGGTTACTGGGAGACGGCCAAGTGAAGAGGGTGCGTGCCGGGGGTGAGGGCACACATGCATCCTCTCTGGAAGTGACACTGAAACATTTCCATTAGAATAGTTATATCAAGAAAATACAGAAGACTGTCCCATTGCACTCAGGGGTTTATAGCAGAGCAGCTTTCTCCGAAGGCAAGGGCTTGATTTGTGTTCTCCCAAAAGGCTGGATGAAGTACTAATCTCCAGGAACCTGGCAAGGGGACTTTAATGGAAATTAGGTCTTAGAAGATGTTATCCATTAATATGAGGTCATATGAGACTAGGATGGGTCCCAACCCAGTAGAGGCATCGAAAGACCACACACTTGCTCTCATGTGGATTCTGACTCACCACGATCCTATAAGA